ATGGTGCATGGGGGCATGCGTGGTATGGGGGGCATGGTAAGGGGTTCATGGTATGGGGGCATGGTATGGGGGCCATGTTGTGGGAGGCATGGTATGGGTATATGACACGGATTTGATCCATGGATGCATGATATGGGTGTGTAGCATCCATCCCTACCCATCCCTACCCATCCCTACCCATGCCTACCCATCCCTACCCATCCCTGCCATGGCACCACCAGGTGCTCAGTTGGGCGACCCTCTGGTCCGTGCAGGCAGCCTCTGTTCCCCGCGATGCCAACCACCCCTATGGTGAGACGATACGATACTGAAGGCCATACAAGCTTGTTAGGCGAGCTGCAGTTTAGAGGAAATCTTTAGCAAAGGATTAACAGTATTAAAGAAGAAAGCTCGCCTAACAAACTTCTATGGCAATCACCCCTACGGTGAGACGATATTGAAGGCCATAGAAGCTTGTTAGTCGAGGTTACAGTACAGTCCAGAGGAATTCTTCAGCAAAGGATTGGCAGTAGTAAAGAAGCAAGCGACTTTTGAGGCGCCTCAAAAGCTCGCCTCACAAGCTTCTGTGGCAATCACCCCTACGGTGAGACGATATTGAAGGCGCCTCTTCTCCCTTCCCTTTCCCTCCCCTTCCCTCCCCCTATTCCCTCTTGAGCCACCCTCCTATGGTCGCACAATGCACGCTCACAAGTACGCCCTGGTCTCGTCCCTTCCATTCTCTCCTCCTTCCACTTCTCTTCTCTTCCTTTTCTCGTTCATTCCCTTCCCTGTTCATTCCCTTCCCTGTTCATTCCCTTCCCTGTTCATTCCCTTCCCTATTCAAACGTGCATTCACTTGCCTTTCCTTCCCCCTCCTCTCCCCCCTTTCATCCCCCCTCCTCTCCCAATTTTGATGTCCCTCTTCCTCCCTCCTCTCCTCTCCCCTCCCCTCCGTCTCTTCTCCACTGCAGGACACGGCAAGTTTGAGACAGTGGGGGCGCTGGGGGTGTCACTTCTCCTGATCGGCACGGGAGGCGGCATGGCATGGCACGCGCTGCACCTGCTGCAGGACTTTCTCCCGGCTTCCCTCGACCTGCAACATCTCCTCACATCTGACGCTGCTTCCTCCCATTCCCTCCTCTCCTCTCCCTTCCCCTCCCCTCCCCTCCCCTCCCCTCCCCTCCCCTCCCCTCCCCTCCCCTCCCCTCCCCTCCCCTCCCCCCTCCCCTCCCCCTCCCCTCCCCTCCCCTCCTCTCCCCTCCCCTCCCCTTCCCCCCTCTCCCCTCCCCTCCTCTCCCCTGCTGCCTTTCTCTGCAGGACACGGCAAGTTTGAGACAGTGGGGGCGCTGGGGGTGTCACTTCTCCTGATCGGCACGGGAGGCGGCATGGCATGGCACGCGCTGCACCTGCTGCAGGACTTCCTCCCTGCCTCCCTCGACCTGCATCATCTCCTCACATCCGACGCTGCTTCTGTTGGGGGTGCTGCCGGTACAGCAGCTGCTGGCGATGCTGCTGGCTTGGCAGGAGCAGCAGGAGCAGCAGGAGGAGGAGGAGACGCAGGAGTAGGAGGAGGGGGAGCAGCAGGGGCGGTGGGGCATGGACATGGGCATGGGCATGCGCATGGAATCCTGGGGCATGTGGCAGGAGGGCAAGAGTACATGCCGTTGGCGCTAGCAGCAGCAGTGGCATCCATAGGGCTCAAAGAGAGGTGAGTCTTTTTTGAACACATGGTGAGCCATAGGAGGGCTGCCTTCTTGAACCATGTGTTTTTATTATTTTTTTTAGGCGCCTCAAAACCGTGCACCTGCAGCCATTTTTGATGCGCTTCCATAGGGCTCAAAGAGAGGTGAGTCGAGTCCCTTTTGAACACATGGTGAGCCATAGGAGGGCTGCCTTCTTGACTTGAACCATGTGTTCCCTTCCCTTCCTCTGTGGTTCAGGGCAGGAAGGCAGTCTCTATCAAGCTCTGTGATCTCTGTTATCGGGCTACTAAGTGGGTGGCGGAGCAGAGCAATACTTACGTCATACATTAGCTATCTGACGCACCCACCCAGCTGATTTCTTTTTCTCCACTCCACCTCCCCGCTCGCCCGTCCGCCCCCCCCCCACCTCCATTCCCCTCCTTTCGTTGCCAGCCTGTATTGGGCGACGAAGTGGGTGGCAAATCGCTACGACAACCATCTCATGCGCACGACTTCAGCTCCTTCACACCCCCACCCCCTATTTCCCACCCCTTCTTCCTTGGGCCTATCCCAGCCTGTATTGGGCGACCAAGCGGGTGGCAGATCGCTATGACAACCATCTGATGAGCGCAACCGACTTGGTGGCCCATCACCCTATTATTCCCCTCTTCCTATGCCCCCCTTCCCACCCTCATTTCCCCCTTCCCACCTCCGTTTCCCCCTTGTTTCCGGTCCATGCCAGCCTGTACTGGGCCACCAAGTGGGTGGCGGATCGCTACGACAACCATCTCATGCGGCCAGCCATTTACCCCCCACTTCCCCCTCCCACCACTCCCCCCGTCATGCCGGCCTGTATTGGTCGACCAAGTGGGTGGCGGGCCCTACCAAAACCATCTAATTTCAACTTCAGGCCCATTATTCGCCCACCTCCACGCTCTCCCCTCCTCTTTCCCTCTCTCATGCCAGCCTGTACTGGGCGACCAAGTGGGTGGCGGATCGCTACGACAACCATCTCATGCACCCAACTCCTTTCCGTTCCATCACTCCCCCTACCTCCCTACCTCCCTGCTTCCCTCTCCACCGTTCCACCCCCATTTCCCGCGCTTGGGCCTATTTCAGCCTGTACTGGGCGACCAAGTGGGTGGCGGATCGCTACGACAACCATCTCATGCGCGCCAATGCATGGCACCACCGCAGCGACTCCGTCTCTTCCTTTGCTGCACTGCTGGGCGTGGGTGAGTGAGTGAAGGGGAGCGAGAGTGTGTGTGGCCTCGCTTGCTGATCTACTGGGCGTCAGCGGATGGAGGGGAGGGGGTGGTGGGGAGGGAGTGGTGGGGAGGGAGTGGGGTGAGTGGGTGAGTGAGTGAAGGAAGAAAGAGAGTGTGTGGCCTCGCTTGCTGATCTGCTGGGCGTCAGTGGGTGGAGGGGAGGGAGTGCTGGAGGGAGTGTGGGTGAGTGGGTGGGTGAGTGAGTGGGTGGGTGAGTGGGTGAGTGGGTGGGTGAGTGAGTGAGTGGGTGGGTGAGTGGGTGAGTGGGTGGGTGAGTGGGTGAGTGGGTGGGTGAGTGGGTGAGTGGGTGGGTGAGTGGGTGAGTGGGTGGGTGGGTGGGTGAGTGGGTGGGTGAGTCAGTGTGTGGGTGAGAGTTGAATGGGCGAGTGGGAGATAGAAAGTGGGAGTGAGGGGGGGTGAGTCTTTGGTGTTTGGAACAAAATCCATGACCCTTCTCACCCATATCCTCCCTCACCCGTGTCCCCCCTTCATTGTACACATGGCAGGAGGAGCAATGGCTGGCGTGCCGACTCTCGACCCCCTCGCAGCTCTTTTTGTGGCTGCACTCATCACCAAAGCAGGCGGCAGCATTGCGTACCAGAGGTGGGAGGCAGAGAGACAAAGGTAGAGAGAGGGACAGGCGTTGTTGCTACTGCATCACCTGCTCATTGTTCTCGACCCCCTCGCAGCTCTTTTTGTGGCTGCACTCATCACCAAAGCAGGCGGCAGCATTGCGTACCAGAGGTGGGAGGCAGAGAGACAAAGGTAGAGAGAGGGACAGGCGTTGTTGCTACTGCATCACCTGCTCATTGTTCTCGACCCCCTCGCAGCTCTTTTTGTGGCTGCGCTCATCACTAAATCAGGCAGCAGCATTGCATACGAAATGTGGGGGGAGGGGGGAGGGGAAGAGGGGGGGAGGATTGTTTTAGGGGCCACAGGAAACGATTTTTGAGGCAGCTAAAGAGAACGGAGCTCTTTTCGTGGCTGGGCTCTCATCACCAAAGCAGGCGGCAGCATTGCATGCTGGAGGTGGGGGGGAGGGAGAGAGCAGAGAATAGTTTTCCCTTAGACGTCTCAAGCAACGACTCTTGAGTGCTGATGAGTTCAACAACAACAACAACAACAACAACAACAACAACAACAACAACAACAACAACAACAACAACAACAACAACAACAACAACAACAACAACAACAACAACAACAACAACAACAACAACAACAACAACAACAACAACAAACATTGGTTGGCTGCACTGACTTATAAATCCTGGCTCTTCTAGTTGAGGGCTGGCTGATCACCAGAGCGCAGGCAGCAGCATTGGTGAGCGACTCATACCAGAGGTGGGGAAGAGAGGAAGGGAAAGGGGTTGGGAGAGGGATGAGGAGAAGCAGGCAAACAAAGATGATTTCTGGTAAAGAGTTGAGGCTCCCACCTCAGCCTGTTTCCGTCTCTTGTCACATTGTTTAACAACCAATCCTCTGCCATTCACCTGTTTCCTTCCCGCCCCCATTTCGCTTCCCTTCCGGTTCCTCCCATCATCATGTCATCATTTAACAATCAGCATTCAGGACCTCGTGGATGTGGGGGTTACTTTTGAGTCGACTCAAAAGTCCCCTCCTTTCGCTTTCCTTCCGGTTCCTCCCATCATCATGCCATCATGTCATCATGCCATCATGCAACAATCAGCATTCAAGACCTCGTGGATGTGGGGGTTTCTGAGAAGGTTCTTGAGCCCATCAGAGCGCAGATCATTGCGTCTCCTGGAGTGCTGGTGCGTCTGTACTTCTTGGAACTGAGCTGTGCTGTGCTGTGCTGTGCTGTTCTTCTTCTTGTCTTATTTTCCTTATCCACGTTTTGAGACATTTGAAAAAAGAACCAGTATGTTATGTTCTACGTTTTCCACGTATTGCTCCCCACCTTCCAACACCCCCCCCCCACCCCACCCCCTCCCCATCCCTCTTACCACTACCTCTTTTTTTTCACAAAACCGCATGAGAGTGTAGCTCGTTCTTACACGTTTCAGAATTCCTCCCTGCTCCACTGAATTTATCTCGCACCTGTCCCACTCTACCCCTCCTTTTCTCCTCCTCTCCTCCCCTTCCTCCCCTCCTTCCCTCCCCCCTCCTCCCCTCCCTCTTCCTCCCCTCCCCCCCTCCCCCTTTTGCCATTCCCCCACACCTCCACCTTCCCCCCCAGGGCTGTCACAACCTGAGGGGCAGGCGCATGGGGCCATGGCTGCATGTGGATGCGCACATAGAGGTGTGTGCTGAAGGGAAAGGGAGGGACTGGGGTAAGGGGCATGTGCATAGGGCGGTGGTTGGCGTGAGAGGTAGGCGCATGGGGCCATGGCTGCATGTGGACGCGCACATAGAGGTGGGGGGGGGGGGGAAGGAACGGGAGGAAATGGGGACGAGGTGGAAGGGGGAATTGGGAAAGGGAGAAAAGGGGCAGGCGCATGGGGCCATGGCTGCATGTGGATGCGCACATAGAGGGGGAGGGGAGGGGAAGGGGGGGACGAGGGTAGTGGTATGTGCATGTGGACTAAGGGGACAGGGGAAAGGGCAGGCGCATGGGGCCATGGCTGCATGTGGATGCGCACATAGAGGTGGGGGGGAGGGGAAAGGGGCGCACGAGGAGGTGGGGGATGGGGAAAAGGGGCGCACTTAGAGGTGGGGGATGGGGAAAAGGGGCGCACATAGAGGTGGGGGATGGGGAAAAGGGGCGCACATAGAGGTGGGGGAGGGGGAAAAGGGGCGCACATAGAGGTGGGGGAAGGGGAAAAGGGGCGCACATAGAGGTGGGGGAGGGGGAAAAGGGGCGCACATAGAGGTGGGGGAAGGGGAAAAGGGGCGCACATAGAGGTGGGGGAGGGGGAAAAGGGGCGCACATAGAGGTGGGGGATGGGGAAAAGGGGCGCACATAGAGGTGGGGGATGGGGAAAAGGGGCGCACATAGAGGTGGGGGAGGGGGGAAAGGGGCGCACATAGAGGTGGGGGATGGGGAAAAGGGGCGCACATAGAGGTGGGGGAAGGGGAAAAGGGGCGCACATAGAGGTGGGGGATGGGGAAAAGGGGCGCACATAGAGGTGGGGGATGGGGAAAAGGGGCGCACATAGCAGAGTCGACTTCCAAAAGAAAACAAAAAAAGCTCTCCATTTCGTTCTCTTTCCTCCACTCCCCCCGCACACTTTCCTCAATCTTCCCCCTCACTCTACTCCCTCACTCTTCCCCCATCGCTCCCCTGCCCTCCATTCTTCTCCCGCCCCTTCCTTGCAGGTGGACCCATCGCTCACAGTGAGAGCAGCGCACGACATAGCACTGGCTGCACGGGACCATCTGCAGCACCACTTCCCCTCCATCACCGAAGCTCTCTTTCACATAGGTGCGTGCGTGTGTGCCTGCTTGTGTGCGTGTGCACCAGAAGCACAAAATTTCCCTCGCACACAATCGCAGCACCACTTCCCCTCCATCACCGAAGCTCTCTTTCACATAGGTGCGTGCGTGCGTGCATACCAGATGCACAAAAACCCCCTCGCACACGCACCAGCACTTAACCAACACAACCACAGCGCCACTTCCCCTCCATCACCAGAGCTTTCTTCCTTCCACATAGGTCAGCGCCACATGCACTGCAATCACTTCCTCTTTTGAGACGTTGACTTTTGAGTCGACTCAAAAGAGTTGACTTTTGAGTCTACTCAAAAGAGTTGACTTTTGAGTCGACTCAAAAGTCACATAGGTCAGCGCCACATGCACTGCAATCACCTCCTCTTTTGAGACGTCTCAAAACATGCAAATGCAATCTTCGTACAGTGCAACGGTTGGAGTCTTCACATGTCACACACACTTCCCCTCCATCACCGAAGCTCTCTTCCACATAGGTCAGCGCCACACCACATGCACAAATGCATCGTCACATGTCCTCTCCACGCCACTTCCCCTCCATCACCGAAGGCCGAAGCTCTTTTCCACATAGGTCAGCGCCACATGCACTCACCTCTTTTGCGACGTCTCAGAACATGTCGCATGCTGAGAACCTCTACAAGTGAGCATGCACAGCACCACTTCCCCTCCATGGCCAATAACCACACAAGCACAGCACCATTTCTCTCTCTTTTTTTTTTTTTTACTCAAAAGTGCCTCACTATCACTTTGACGTTCGAGTGATCTCACTAGTGCTGTTGAGAGTTCTCAGAAGTAGCACTTCCCATCCGTGTCTGGTGCACTCTGCATCCCCACACCCCACTCTCCACTCCCACTCCCATTCCCCTCCCCTCTCCATCCCCTCCCCTCTCCTTCTCCCCTTTCCCCGACCAGACCCAGCAGACGGCAGGGCGCCATCCCCTCTGCATCCCACCTGCCCCCTTGACCCGCAAGCCTGGGTACAAGGGCAGTTAAATCCCACCGCAACGCCTTCTCCTGCTGCTACTTCTGCTGACGGTTCTGCTGACGGTTCTGCTGACACTGTCCCCCACAAAGAGCAGTCTCAGGACCAAGACAGTGCTGGGCCGTCGTTGCACCGTCCATCACCCTCCCACTGACATGACACCTTGTTAATTGCTTCTTTGAACGATTCTCGCCCACTTAACGCACAGCTAAAGGCTCAAGTGAGAGTCCCTATGGGATTCGGTTTCAAACTGAATCCCTCCAGTCATCATGGTTATTTGATTTGCTTTGCGATGTGGAGCGCTGTGGCTGCGTGTCCGTCCTTTCATCTGTGGTTGTGCGTGCGTGCGTGCATGAATGTTACTTTGGTTTCTCATGGGACAATCAATTGGGGCTTCTACCAAATGGTCAGCATATCACTAAGTAGAATTCACTGTTTAAAGCGCTCGGGGCAATCAGAGATCTGAGAGGGCCATTATGCCACCACATTTCTAGGACACCGCTACAGATGACACGTAATAATAATATTGCTGAAATCAGCTCTGTAAACAAACGGTTGCCACCAAGTACAAGAGAATTGTTTATGGTGAAAGTAGTGTACGAGGCACGAGTAATGGATGTTGACGCGAAGTTTGGTGAGGAGTTGGTTGGGGAGAACTCAGGACTCAGTAGACCGTTCGGGGGAGGGAACTGCGGTAACCAATCAGCACTGAGAATCCAAAACCAGGGGTCGCACATTGGAAAATGTGCGCTTCGGGGCATGGATCTCAAAGCTAAGAGGGCAGCAGCGTGCATCTGTCCCTGCCATTCTCTCTTGTTTGCTTGACGGTTTACCTCGCCCTTAGTGCTTGGTGACTAGTGGCCCCTAGGGCAGCCAAGGCGTTCTGGTAGAGTGCAAATACTCGTTCACAAGGTACGGTAGAAATGGAAGAATGGACGAACACCAGTTGCGCTGGAGTCAGAGTTTTGTCCGTCGCCGCGGCGAGGAGGAGCTGTTATGGCGCGGCGGATCAAGGGAAATTTTGCGTGCGGATGATCGGATCCAGCCGCTGACCGGGCCGGAGGCAGCAGGCGATCGTAGCGCTGGGTATGGCAGCAGAATATTCGATCGAGGAACGAGCGGGACGAATAACTCGCCTTGGGATCTGCGAGGAGCCCGATCTGGTCGGCAGGACCTGTGTGGACGGCAGCAGCCTGTGGGGGCTGCGGGGCGGCAGGGGGAAGACGGTGGTGGCGGCGACCGCCACGGACCCTCGGGATCGCGACGCGCGCTGGATCTAGACGGACGCGGCGACGACGAGCCGCGCCGCGGAGTGATGGGACAGCGCCGATCGCCAGATCTGATTCTTGAGACGTCTCAGAAGCGCCTATCGCCGCCAGATCCGCGTCCGGAGGTGGAGTACGAGAACGGGAAATACCGCTTAGACGCGGTGGAATTGCGCCGTCTGGCGGCAGATCTGCGGAAGGATGTCGAGAGAGCGCGTGATGGACTTATCATGGGACCGCCTCGCTCGACGGATCCGCGTCCGGAGACGGAGAATGGGCGGTGGAGCAAGTCGTGCCACGAAAGTACGGCAACTCTGGTGCAAGCCAAGCAAGAATTACAATTTCTACCACTCAAGGTGCTCCGAGTCGGGGGAAGTACAGCAACTCTGGTGCAAGCCAAGCAGGAATTACAACTTCTGCCCGCCAAGGAACTCCGATTTGGGTTCAGATGGTCCGTAGATCTGGCGAGGTAACTGCCGCTGACTCAGAAGGGAAATCGGTACATATCATGATGGAACACGTCAGCAAGTGGCTGGAGGTGCGTGCGCTGCCCAGCAAGAGCTCTAAACTCATAGCAGAGGCGTTCCAAGAACAGGTGCTGTGCCAGTTCGGGCCTTGTGGGGAGGTGCTCACAAATCAAGGGAGCGAGTTCCAAGGGGAATTCAAGAAGTTACTGGACCAAGTCGAAGTCTCTTGCAGGAGAACCCCTTCGAGGTATCTCCCGCAGAGTGATGGGCTGGCGGAGAGGATGGTGCAAAGCTTAAAGCTGTCGCCTACATACCTCCTGCGGGAGGCCTAGGTTTATCACTTGAAAACACGGTTGCACTGAGCTTCGCTCCAACCTTGAGTGGCGAGGTGGAGTTACTGCACCCTGACAGCAGCACCTTTCCTCTGAAGATTGGGCGAAACAGGATTGGCTTCTAAATTTCGCGCCATTCTGCTCCCCAACTCGGATTGGTTGCACGTGTTGGCGAAATCGCCAACACAACCCAAACCTCCCGAAATAATTACCCCCCAACCGAACCTTTCACGAAACTGGCGGGATTCGCCAGTTCTGTTTGAAACATTCGCGCGCTCATTTCTGGAAAAGAGTCATTTCGTTCCCCAATCAGCATGCGACCTAGGGTGTGCACCCGAAATACCCCCCGAAAATACATTTTCGTATGTAGACCGCAGCTATCGCGCGGGGCCTCCGGATGTATGCCAAGCAGCGGACGTGTGATTGGGACGAGGACTTACACTGGGTGGCTGCGGGATATAGGTTCGGCAAGCAAGCAGCGCTAAAGGACCAATCGCCCTACAGCCTGCTGTACGGCCGGGAACCTGTGTTGCCAGTGGGGTCTCCACCGGTTCTGACAGACACTGTAACGGCAGGGAGCGCGGAGAACTGGGTGGCATTATCAAGGCTGCGAGCCAAGTACCTCAAGGGGGGGATTCTCCCTGCAGCTCTGGATAATGTGGATACAGCAGAGATGTGGGGTGCCACGAGGTATGAGCAGCGGCAAAGGAGGGGAGGAGGAGCAGGAACGGACACACGGACGCAGGCAGGACAGGAGGTGTACGTGCGTGGATCCAAGGGGATCAGGGAGGGTACGCTGCATGTGGGCTTTGTTGGAACAAAGAGATGGCGAGTCAAAGAGGTGAGGATGTCAGGAGTGCTGGTTCTGGAGAACGAGCGGGGAGTCTGTTTTTGAGGCGCCAAAAGAAATGAAAGAGGGAAGGACGAGGAGGTGTACTTTCGTATAGGTAGAGCCGAACAGGTTACACTTTATGTGGGACTTGGTGGCAGAGAGATGGTGAGTCTACGAGGCGAGGGAGTCGAGGAGTGCTGGTTCTGGGAAGGAGCGGGGAGGGTGATGAAGAATTCTCAGCCCAACGCTGCTCTCAGGAAGGACAGTGAAGGCTCGGTATGAAGCCTCAGAAAGTGGGTGACTGATGCAGCACAGGATGAAGGTAACAGATGAGGAGACTGGGACTTGAAGACAACGAGGAAAGCTGTTATCAGAAAAGTACTGTGGTATACGTCTGTTTGTGACGGGAGATGTGTTTAGGCACGGACATTGTACGAGGCAAAGTATTGCCGAGGGTAGATATATGGGATGTTCAACACTGTAGTGAACTTGTGGAGAGGGTTCTGGAATAGTAACAATCACAGAATGAATTTGAGAAGGCACATTGCTCACCAATTGGATTCACATTCATGTGCAAGGCACACACATTGAATCAAACTACAGTATTAAACTAGTTAAGGTCCAGCAAAGCAAGAGCATGGATGAGGGGAGGTATGAGGCTGCATACAGCAGCAACCACAGCCTACAAGCAGCAGCAAAATCTAACAAAATCTTGGCACGACAGCGTTCATGATTGCAGCAGCCTCATGGCTCCTCCCAGCCAAGAAACCCAGAACAGGAGGATCAACTAGTGAGTGGAATCTGGTGAAGTTTGGTGAAGTCCATAATACAATAGCAGGAAGAGATGTGTGTAGGAAGAGTGGGATAGTAGCGGAGATGATGGTGTCACTGATGCACTGGGTCTGCCGATGCAATGAGAGGATCTTGTTGAAAAGACGCCTCTCTTTGTCAGCAGAGTGCCGAGTGGGTTCTTCATCTCAAGAAGGGAATGAAGAGGTACTCGAGGTAGAATAGCTGTGTGGAGGGGGCATTGTGGGGGGAACGAGAGGGGGAGTGAGTGAGTGTAGTTTTGAGGC